CAATGCAAGATCAGCGTGACTAGCGAGGAGAATATCATGCTGATGCTTCATACGTGTCCTTCCCAATTCATACTTTCACATTTTTTTAATATTTTTTAAAATACATTTTCGATGAATATAGGTTCACTTATTTAATATTTTAAACTCCATAATTTTACTTGCACTGTTTTTAGTATCTGCCATTAACTTTTTTTTACCAAAATTAAAAAATAACAACTAAACTTAAAATCAAAATTATATTACTATGGAAATAAGACGCATGAGAAAGTTTTTCTCAAAAGTTTTTTTTATCCTTGAGATATAAAATTTCATTTTCGTTCTACATCCATAATAAGTTATTCTTGAAGATAGAGATCTCTTATTTATCAAATTATCTTCTTTTTCATTAAAAAAATTGACTCATACTCATACTAGTTAACTCCCACAATGTCCTTGTGATTAAATCAAGCAATGAGTAACTTATTATTACATAATAAGTTAGTTATTGTGCACAACTAGATAATGTTCTTCCACATACACAATAAGGTACTTTTGAAGTCAAAGATCTCTTATTCATCAAACTACCTTCCTCCTCCTTGAAGAAAATTGACTCATACTCATGTTAGTTAACTTCAACAATACCCCCACAAAGTTAAGAGACAATAAGTATCTTAATAATGAGACTTGTAACCTATACGTAAAAGTTAAAAGAATATACAATGTTCACATTAGAAATATCAATTTATATCCCACATTAATAAGAAATGGTAGTTTGACAAAGAATTAACGCACAAAATCTAAAAAGATTTTAGAAAAAGGTAAATATAAGAACTAAGTTTTTTAACTTTAAACTATATGGATTAAAAGGTAAAATTAGTGAAATTAAAAGAACTAAAAGCTATTTTAACCTTTTTTAAATTAACTATTTATAAAGTTAACAATTTTTTTTAGAAAATTGTGGAAAATATATCAATAATGAGCTATTTGTAGGGTATCTTGGTTCCACATTTAATATGTTTGGAATTAATTTTGTTGAATCCAAGATAACCATAATCATGTTTGCTATATGTTTGACTATTGGCAAACTCGATTTTAAGATGTCTAAATTTACATCTACTTGAAAGCAAATATTAATAGATTCTCCATAAATAAATAAAAAATCAATTTTGAGGTTTTATCAATCCAAATTTATAATTACACAATCAAAATAACTTTGATAACAAGTTTTAAAATAATATTAAATATGAAAATCAAATTCATATTTTTATCAGTTGAATCCTGCCTAAAATATAAGTTTTAATAATGATAAATTCTTAATTTCAAATTTTTGTATAGAAGAGTTATCATGTAATGTGCTAATAATTTTGTTCAAATATTTTAGAAATATCTATATCTAATCAAAAGGTTGACTAAGTCTAAATAGTTCAGAAGGTTCTCAAGACATCTCTACATATGAATTAATTTGGTTGGACTACCTATTAGCACTAGAATCTTGTTTATCCCAAACAAGAAGATGAACATCATGTATTTCTGGTTAAAAAGGTTCAAATTAAAACATTTATTTTTAAGATAAATGTTTTAAAGACCTGGTTCAAAAAACCAACACTAAGTTATTTATCAGAAGACTCTAGTTAAAACATAGCTTCTTAGAAGATTTTGTACTAAAAATTTTGTTCATAAGGCTTGAAGATAAGACCTACTTAGAAGGTACCTCATCTAAAGAAAAAGTTGAGTGTACTAGAAAAGACAAAATACATTGATATCAACCTTGCATAAAAATTATGCTAGCCTCAACAAATCTATTTTCAAAGGCTATAAAAAGGTAGACAATGGACTCATTTTAAAGCAAGTGAGATCAAAGAGAAAAATTAAAACACAAGCTATCAAGATGTAATTCTTGCTTCATACTCTTATTCGATTAGAGATCTCCACTTCAGCATTTTAGATCAATTTTGTAATAGAAAAAGAAGTGTGAATCTTCTTTAATGGAATCTCCATTATAGGAAAACTTGTTGTAATCTTAGCAGTGAGCAAGGTTACAAAACTCATTTGTTGTAAGCAACTTTTCTACCCAAATCCGGGTGTGCAAAGATGTAGGAAGGCAAAAAGAAACCACAAGAAGTGTTATATAATCTCATAGCAGGTGGTTGTGAGATTGTTTTTCTCAACATTTGGTTGAGCGCGAAAATCTCAATAAATAATTGACTGTTGGCTATTAACAAGTGACTATGTAGTAGTGTTTGTATATCAGTATGTGGTTAAGTTATTTTTGATCAATTGGTTGTGATGATGAAAATCTCAGAAATTTTTGTGCAATCTCTCTTACTTAATCTCTTTACCTGTTTTATTTATCTTACTACATCTTATATTCTATTGCTATAAAATATGTTTTGAAAACCAGTAAGCTTAGAAACTACTTTCAAAATAATTCTCTAAGTTTTAATACTAGAAGGGTTTACATTCTAAAGAACAAAATTTTACAAAGAATTAATTTTTAAAGAACTAAACAATTCAACCCTTCCCTTGTAGTCTAACATTCACTTTATTATTATCTAAATAAAAATCACATTATTTTTCACTTAAAATTATGCCAATTATGTTGATTTAAAATCAATTATACGGATACATATCAAACACACGTAATCAATTAAAAATATATGATAATTGATTATAAGTATAATTGTGTATTGTTATAAATTATAATTTATTATAATTAAAACAAACACTTGTTTAGATGAATTAAATGAAAAATCTTTGAGGATTTAATTTTATGTAAAAAATCAATTTTACAATAAAAATTGTTAAGAAATAATTACAAATTCTAAAATTTCAATTTCATTAAAACAAATTTTCTTTTAAAAATTTGTTTATAAATTTTCCTAAACATACAAAAAAAAATTCTGCAAAGGATTTATAATATTTCTTAATAATGCGATGAAATAATTATATTCTTAAAAAAATTATTTTAAGAAACATATTTTAATCACGTATTTTTTTTTTAATTAAAGGGGTTAATCATTTAAAAAAAAAACCAATTAAAACTACGAAAATATAACATAGAAGTTACATAAGCTCTAGCAATCCAAAAAAATAAAATAAAACAACATAAAAAGATCCCCAAATTATAAGAGATATTCCAAAGGTGAACCATTGATATACGTGATTTATATTATACAGTTACAGTACTCAAATAATTCAAATGTTTTAATTTTAAAAATGTAAAATTACAATTAAATCCTATGTATAACATTTTCAGTTCTCAATTTTCACGAACACTATGATGGCTACGAAGAAGTCGTTAAAATAGAGTTGCAAACAGGGCGATACCTCTGACAAAGATCTGCCACCAAAGGAGCAGAAGCAACTCTCCTCTGTTTTTACATAATCGTCATGGAAATGTAAACTATTATCATTGTATTGCAACACATTTGGCATGTTTAGGCTTTTGTCTCTTCTTGTTGCTGGATAAAAGCCGTTGTGATTGTTCGATAAAGCATATGGTATATTTTGAGTGATATTTCAAAAAATTAAAATATTTATTATTTAATTCTTATTAAATAAATGTTTTATTTATTTTTTGTTTACTGATTTTCTTTTATGCTTTTTATTTGATTTTTTAAGGGTTAATTTTACCGTATTTTATAAAATGGTTGATTTGGTTTTAAATAATTTTAAGAAATAATCTTTTCATTATAAATATAACATTCAAAAAAATTTGAGAGTTCTTCCCACACATCTTCTTTTTATCATTTTATAAATTTTATAGGATATTTTTATTTAAAAACTTGATAGTTTTATTATCCAATTATTATTGGGAATAACCTGTTAGCCATCTCCAATTAATTACTTTTATAATTATAAAAGTTTCATATAAAAAGATAAATGGTAATTAGTGGTTGACGATGAAGATGGACAATATACAACAACACCTTGGACTTTATGTGCGTGGGAGGTGAAGTTGGATGCAGAATGGATCTCTTAGCAAATCAAACGGTTTCAAACATGTATGCTTATATATAGTAAAATTGATGAAAAATCGTTCATGATAATACTGTATTTACTGCAATCATTGGGGCAAATAGTGGGTTGCTTTCGTGTATTACAACTCAAACTTTCCATGGAAGTATGAAACAAAGGTGACTGCGTCATAAAGTAACGAATATAAGTACCAATGACTTGACTGTTATGGCTATTGGGAAGGGAACTTGCTTAAAAATGAAAAAAGTGAAGGGAATTTCCTACAGGTCACGTAAGCATAATCTTCGAACATGTCTAAATTTAATTTATCTTTTTTCAAAGAAATTCAAAAGGGATATTGCAGAATACACGACTTGTCCAGCTTCTTTGGATGTCGGTTTTTACTTTTTAGGTTCTTGTTGTAGACTCACTTGTTACTTATTAAACGTGATTCACGTTACGTGAAACTGTACATCTTACCCTACTCAATAATTCCCTGATGTTACGTTGTTGCAAAATCTTTACCTATATATATACATGAATTTTAGGGAGAGGAGATGGTGCTTTAGTATAAAATTCAAAAAACATTTTCAAACAACTTATTACATTAGCCAATTTCAGAATTCGAGTGAGAAATTGAACGAACTTAATTATATAACTTGTGTAAGACCTCTCTTGTGTCACTCTTCATGAGATTACTACATGATTTATATGACAGAAATATAAGAAATTACGTATTTACATCAGTATAATGCCATGTTGGCATGCAGACACAAATTTACAGCAGATAACACAGTAGTGTATGTTTGTGTCAGCTGAGATTGTATGTATATACTATATTACTCCTGTTTCTAAAAAAAGTACTTAATCAGCAACTTTGTTAAGTTCACCACCGTATTTGTCAAAAAGAAAGCGTGCGAGTAAGAAAGATGCACTAGGCAGCGTGAATTGAGTGTTTGAAGGTTCCAAATTCTTATCCTCTATAGGAAGTATTGCCATGCCAACCTACAAAAAGAGCAAAAGCTAACAACTCTCCGCAAGTTAAAAACACGTAACTCCTTTAATCAAAAAAAAAAAAAAACACGTAACTAGCTAGCACTAGCAGTAAACACAAGAAAGAGACCACTTCTTAAGCTCTCAATGCATCAAATTTTCCCAGCATAAAAAAAACAACAAAACATGCCATCTTCAACCACCTTATTGACCATTTTGATTCTGACACTGTCCTTTCTCCCCATTGCCCTCAGTTCCCATATTCAAGCCTGTAGCGAACCGTTCCTCAAACTAGCGCAACAAAGAAACATCTCAGACTGCAAGAGGCTGCGCACTCTTGGCGCGGAATTTGCATGGTCCTACCACAATGGCACCAACAGCTCCACCGTGCTTGAAATCTTGTTCGGTGCCACACTCGACGCCCCACAAGGGTGGATGGCGTGGGGTGTGAACCCGGGAAAAAGGCCTGAGATGATTGGAACCAAAGCCATCATAGGCATCAAACTCTCCAATGGGACACTGGGAGTGAAGACATACGACATCACAAAGGAGACCAAACACAATTGCAATCTTTTTCCGTCAGACATTGGACTTGGTTTGTCCGCTGCCAATATGTTGATGAGGAGAGAGGTGTTTAATAATGTGTACACCATATATGCTAGATTGACCCTCCCTTCTGAAGTGTACAACGTTACGCGGCTGAACCATGTGTGGCAAGTTGGTTATCACATTGAAGGTGACCGTCCCCTTCGCCATCCAACAACTCTTCGGAATGTCGACAGCACAGAGGTTATGAATATGACTTCCAGCTCCGGTCACAGCACTGGACAGTACCGGAGTTTCCTTAGATCGGTAAGCAGTAATATATATACACACACGGTTTTGTTGAGAAGTACGAAATAAACACTAGATCAAATCAAACAAATGAATTTAGCACCTCATCTTAACCCAAAACATTTCACATATTGTTTATGGATTTTTTCACTTACATAATCTTCGATATATCCAGATCTAATATGATATATTAGTATATAGTAATTAGACACCTTACAAAAATTTGGTATTTGATCTTCATCCTGTGTAAAAATTCATAAACTAGACAATCATAGCACTATTAAAAAAATAGTCTTTTAAGTGGTGAACAAACTTTTTAATATATCTAAGACACGCTTATAAAACTTAATTAAATTATTTTATTTTTAATAGTACGTATTGTGTTTAATACGTGTATAAATTATGAATAATCATTTAATGAGTTTAAAATAGTTCTAGGACTATCTTAAAATTTGAATTTAATTTTAATTCAATCTTATAAAATTAGTGCTCTTGTAAAGTAAATACTTTATTATAAATTTATCTTAATGGAACTTGGATTTTTTTTCTTCAAATATAGATCTACTCATGTCAATCACTATTATCTTAATGGAACTTGGATTTTTTCTTCAAATTGATCTACTCATGTCATTCACTATTAGACTTATACATATATAAAATATTTTTAATAGATTTAGGGTAGTAGTCTCATAGCCTCACTGAAACTAAATCTTTATTTCCAATAGATAGGTCGAGATCGATATATGTGGTGGGACAAAAATAACATCCAATTTTATTAATACTCTCATTCACACTTGCATGTAGACATTTTTTAAGTGAGAGATTAGAAAATGCTAAATTGATGATAGGCAGATTATTTTGAAGGATATTGAATTTGTATTCTGTTTATAGAGTTAAGAATGAAGGATTCAAGTTATATTAATTACCGCATCCACATAGGTACATGGAGTCCTAAACATCATAGGGTGGGGAACACTATTGCCGATTGGAGTAATAATTGCAAGGTACTTTCGAGTGTTTCCTTTTCAATGCGATCCAATGTGGTTTAACCTGCATATTGGTTGCCAATTAACTGGTTTTCTCGTGGGAACCGCTGGATGGGCTATCGGACTAAGTCTCGGACATTCTTCAAGGTACTACACCTTCCACACTCATCGAATCTATGGCATTCTCATATTCACCTTTAGCACAGTCCAGGTAAATAATATTATCCTTTCTTATTATTGCACTGCATGAGTGTTATATATATGATGGATATGCATTGATGAAATTAAGATGAGTCAATTTTGAAATCAGATGCTGGCTTTTCGCTTAAAGCCGGAGGTGACCGATGATTACCGAAAGTATTGGAACATGTACCATCATTTCCTTGGATATGGACTGTTGGCGATCATATTCATAAACATATTCAAAGGAATTTCGATTTTGGAAGGGGGAGATGGATGGAAGTGGGGATACATTGGAAATCTTGCTTTCTTGGGTGCCATCGCATTTGGTTTGGAGGTTTTCACATGGATTCGCTTCTTCATGGACAAAGCCAAGGCCAGGAGTGAGAACGATGAAGCAATCAAACATGATAGAAACAAGGAAAAGCAAGACTCAGTTGAAGCACCCAAACCCACCAAGACCTAATATATTTGCATGCATCAATCTCTCTGCACGACCCAATATATTGCATCAATAATTTTTTTTTTTAAGATACAATAATAATGTTATGATGATTTTTTTTCTAGTTGTTGGTTGGAATTTGATTTTCCCGTTCAATGAGTTATACTCTTGGTAATTTAATTTATTTTTAAAACTTTTTTTAGTCTTTTATTTTTTTAAATATTTATTTTGTTTTCATATCATATAAATTTGAATTAATTTAATTTTTTTAAAATAATGATCATTTTAAATTTTAAGAAATCATTTTAAATATTTTTCTATTAATTCAAGACTTAAAAATTGTGTCATTAAATATACTTTCAACAAAGATTATTTGTATGCAACTACTATTTAAAAAAAAAATTGTTGTAAACATAATAAAAAAAATCACATAAAAATAAAGTCTAAATTAAAATCAATCGAAAAATTAAAAATAATGTCAAGAACAAAGTTAGTCTTATTAGAGATACATAAAAAAAAACGCCTTATTTATTAAGTGTTTTTGAAGTTGTTTTAAAACTTAATTCTTAATAGAAATACCTTCTTTTTTTTAAGTGTTTTAAGCTATTTTAAAACCGAATTCTTATTAGAATGAATGATAGCTAAGGACAATTCAATCAATTAGGTCTTAATCTTTCAACTTTTGAATTTTTAACTTTACAAAGGCTACGGTGGATCACATTAGTAGGTGACTCTGTGTATCAGTTTTAACAACCATCAAATTTATTTCATTCCACACTTATAAGGTGTACCTATTCTGCTAAAAAAAAAAATTCTTCTCCACTCTTATTGCTGCTCAAATGCATCAACCGTACCCCTCCATTTTCTTATTCAAAAGAATTTATTCGATCAATAACTCTAAATTTATTCTTAACCTTTAAAATTATTAGGTAATTAATTTAGCTTAAATCAAATTTTAAAAAAATATTTTTCAATCTAAATCTAAATCACAAATTAAAAGGTGAATGATCAATTCATCTCAAATATTAAGAATATAATCAAATCACTAACATTGAATAACAAAATACCATATATATATATATATATAAATCAAAATAATTATAAGAATTTGATAGATTACATTCAATTCTAACAAAGAACTCATGGTGATGAGGACAATCTTCATATACAAAGAAAACATAGATGAACCCATGATTTTTGTCCCTAAATGACTATTCTAGTTTTCTTCTCTTCAACTTCACGTCTTTCTCTATTCGGTTCTAACTTTTCTTACTTTCCCTCTTCATTCTTTATATATGTCTAAAATGTTAAAACAGAGTATGTTATAAGTGACCAATCCACTCAACTCTTTCCAAACAACTAAAGTGATTTTAGATTTCTTCACAGTGAAGAAAGATTCATCCGTTGAACTTTTTTTAGTCTGCTAAATCCTTTCTAAAATGAATTTTTTTGGTTCCCCTGAGCCAACTTCATTCAACTTTTCCAAATGACTAAGTGGATTTTTCTAATACATTCATTTGATCTCTGTCTATGATCCGTTGAGTGCATCCAAATTGGCTGAGTGATTTTATAAATTTTGGAAGGCTTGAGACTTTTTAGCAAATATGCATGAAAAATAAGGATTTATTAGTCTAAAATCTATCAACTCTTCACAAACTAACTTATTTACACAACCTTTTAATTCTTACAATATTTTAAAGATTAAAAATATATTTTCTTTTAAAAATAATTAAATAAATATTAAATTATTTAAGTAAAATTAACACTTATCAACAATCAACATCTAGAAGCTAAATATAGTTTCAAACACAAAATGATATAATATGTGAGGAAGTAAGAAAAAAAAATTGACATCGAAGAACTTAGGCAGCATTTAAAAGCCGCAACATTTAAAGGCTACAAATTTTAGCCAACACCAAATCAAATTTTTTAATCAAGAATCCAAAATACAACTCAAAACAACACCCTGATTTGGTAAACTGAGGAATTAGCAGTTGAATTAATATTCTTAAAAATTTTAAATATAAAAAATTGATTTAAGATGATTTTAAAGAATTTAATAATAATGAGTAATAGAAAACCATATATAAATAATCTTTGGAGAACATAGGAATAAGATAGGTGAAATTCAGTCTCAAAATTTTTTTCTCACTATCATCTTTTTAAATTTACTGTTAAGTTAAAAAGCGATCTTAGTTCCCTCAAGTTTTAGAATTTTAATATTAACAAATAAAACATTTTTGTAAGAAAAAATATCTTAAAAAACGTCTTCAAAAATATCTTTGAAAATGTTTAATAGACGAAGTGTAAGATGTAAATTATCTGTAAGACAATTTAAATTAGACAAAGTGTTATAGCAGTCATCTTCAAGTTATTTTATAAGAAGATTCAAAACTCAAGAAAAAGGAGATGCATGATATACAGAAAATACTTGTATAGAAAGAAACACTCTTTGTAAATTATAATTCTTTCTTGTAAAAAGCTTATAGTTTTATACTAGTTGTATAATGTTTAAATGAGACGAACGCAATATTTGTGTAACATTCATGACCATTGTTATAAGGTGGAACATGGAGAGAGCTTATCTATATAAAAAAAAAAATTGTTTTGAGCTTTGAGAAACTTCACTGTAAAAAAAATATTTGGTTGTTAAGTCTAAAGAAGTTTGTTGTGAAAAAAATACTTGAGTAGTTACTAGAAGAGACAAGTCAAAGAATACTTTGAATTGAACTAGAAGTAGCTTGTTGAAAATATATTTGTATCTTTGTTTAAAGATAGTAGAATTCAATATGATTGGATTGAAACTGAATGTAATATCGATGGTTAAGACAAACTAGTGTAAAAATATCTAATGTTCTATTTGACTGCTATTCGCACTTTATCAAATTAGCAATACCACTTCACTACAAAAAACATGTGAATTTTTTGATAAATACCATTCAACCTCCTTTTCTAGTGCTTATCTTTTCTCCATATTTACATTTTTTATTACTAGTTTACTTACTTTTAGGGTTGTGTCAGAAAAAATTTAAGGCCCGAGCCAAATTTTGAGTCATATTTTTATATATATTTCATCATATCTATTCAATTATATTAACTTTTTAAATCGAAGAATTTTAATAATTAATTATTTTTAAAATCTTACTTAATGATAATTCATTCGATCATTATCTCATAACATATACAATTTATAATAATTCAATCTAAAAAAAATGTTTTAAAAAAAATCTTTTGCAATAATATTTTAAATTATTCAATAAACATTATATAAATATAATTTTTTTAATATAGTTTAGTATTTCTAATAAGACATCAATTTCTTTTGTTAATGTTTTTTTTTATATATTTTCAATTTATAAAACACATCAATACTACTAATATAAAATTAATGCTTAATAAAACTTAAATTAAAACAAGTCAATATTACTATTGAAATTAATATTAAAAAAATTCAATTTGATTTCATATTTTAAAATTTGTTAAAATATGCTACGAGTATAAAAAAATAAAATTATTTAATATATGCATAAAATATAAAATAAAATAATATATTTTTAATAAAAACAAAATATATTAATCTTTAAATAATGTCTCCATCACTTTCATCAAAATATTTACAAATCATACTACTTGTATGAAATTCAATCGATATATTCATTCTAATGTCATTTTTATTTTGAATTTAGAGAAAAATTAAACTAATTTTTTCTATAATTTTATTTAAATGAATAACAAACTTTTTCAATTAATACATAACATGCTTATAATAAAGGTTAAGAAGAGTATCCAAGTAATCATTATGTTAATGGTAAGAAGAGTAGGAGTAAAGATAAATTAGGAGGCGTCACATGATATTATAAATATTACTCAGAAGATTACTTAATGTTGATAAATAAAAATACATAAATAGTTAATAAAATTTAATTGTGAATATTTTTTAAATGATTTCTTTTTAGAAATTAAAAATATATTTTGTTAAAATATAAAAACCAAAATATATGAAATATTTATTTGAATTGAAATTGACTTTTTTTTTTGGTAAAGATAATTGAAATTGAATTTAATAATGAATAAATTTTATAAAAATTAATTAATACAAAAAAATAAAAATTAAACCTTTTATTTTGGGTCTTTAATTTATAAATACCATAAAAAAGGAGTATTTTATTTTACCTAAGAAAAAGTTGAAATAGTGAGTAAGTTGATTGAGCATTTTTGGTGACGGAGACAGGAGTTTTTGTTCTGATTCATTCGCATGCAAAGCATGTGTCGCCGCTTCCTTCCTCTACGTTACACAAATAACTCGGAATCAATTTCACAACAACAAAATCAAACTTCAAACCCCACTCACCACTCACTGCAGAGTCAATCATAATGGCCAATTTGCCCCAATCCATCTCCATGAGCGCCGCCTCCTTTGGTGCTCCTTCTGCCTCCGCCACCAAGGATCGCCGAATGGCCTCCGTCGAACACCTCGTCCTCGAACTCAGCAACCCCGATCTTCGGGAAAACGCTCTCCATGAACTCTCCAAGGTTTTCAATTCTCCTCTCCTGTGCAACACTCTCCACTTCCTTCATTTGCGTAGTCTCACGGAAGTGATAACTTCCGATACGGATTTGTTTTTTACTTTTGTTTCTAAATATAATGTTTGTTACGGTTACGGACTAATATATCTCATGCATGTAGTCATTTTCAGACTCGTACCGTTAACTTGTCAATTTTTTTTGTTTAGAAGAGAGAGTTATTTCAGGATCTCGCTCCATTATTGTGGAATTCCTTTGGTACTATGGCAGCACTTTTGCAGGTATGTTGCGGGTCACTTGCATTGTGTATTACTTCTAGGTTTGTCTTTCTTCGCTTTCTTGGTTCTTGTATTTTATATCAAAGAATATCCTTGAAATAAAATCATTTTTTTTTATTATTAGTTTGAGGATCGTTGTATATTGGTTTTCGATGTATGACATTTTTTTTTTCTCTCTTAATGGAGAATGTGCTTTTTTCTGTAGTTGCCCACTGCTTACTAGGATTTTGTTTTATTTTATTTTATTTCAGGAAATAGTTTCAATATACCCTGTTATTTCCCCACCAAACCTTACTCCGGCACAATCCAATCGAGTGTGCAATGCTCTTGCTCTTCTTCAGGTGAGAATTCAGATGAGTTTGACCTTCCAAGTTTTGTATATATCTTGGGTCCAACAGATAGAAGCACTTTTTTAATATGCCCCCGAATATTATTCTCAAGTCTGAAAGTCAATAGCCTTGTAGATGAGTCCAGTCACATATATTATACTCTCTTGGGTCTTTTTCTCCTTTTATTCAATGCATTATTGCTAACATATTTCTCTTGCTCTATGGTTTTCTTATAGTGTGTGGCATCTCACCTTGATACAAGGATGCAGTTCCTCAATGGTAATGTTATTTATTTTTTTCTTATTCATCTGAAGGACTGTGAACTTCTGTCTGCTACTCTAGTTATCATTTTAGCATTATTTATTCTGATAGTGATGGAACAATTGGTAAGTTTGTTTTTACTTTTTTGGGGGAGGGGGAAGGTGTGAAAATGACTTTTTCTGGAAGTTCTGTCAAGGAGTTTTTGAACACAAAATAATCTAATTCAAAAAAACCATAGCTTGTGCTTAGAATAAGAATAATGTGTTGCCCAAGTACTAAGGAAGGTGCTGTCTGCTTATTGGGTTTTTGGACTTTTGGTTAATGCTATCTGGTAAAACTGAGAATAGTAAAGAGTATTTTAAAACCAATAGGAATAGAGCATGGGAGGGATATAGAAGCCAAGTTGATAAGCTCAATCATTCACTGCATATGACTTAAGATTTCACCTTTAGTTATGATAAATATACCACCTAAATAGATCGATAAATTGTCTCCTTTTGCAAATTTAGTTCCTTCTTCCCAAACTTTTCACTGTTTTGTATGATGTCTTTGTTGTAAAGATTGCCTTATTCCTATATCATGACTGCTTTACTTTTGTATAGTATATGTTAAAGAAATATAAAATGATTGACCATATCTTATCCTCTCGTAGTTATATTTTCCCTGTATCCCTCCAATAAAATTTCTTTATTTATTAAAAAAATTTATAAGATGGCCTGCGTGGAAGGCCTTTGGTCCAGTAACTAGTTTTTGTTTGTAAAATAGATTCGTGTGGTTAAATTTTAAATGCAACTAGCTCACCTTTAATATTGCCCAGCTTGTCATATGACTTCTACTTTTCCTTGCTTGAAAATAGAGTTTCTTTCACCCACAGTTTGGTCATACCACCTGTTTATCTTTCTTAGCTGCCATTCATACTTATATTTTGTTCTGCCAATATCTATACTCTCACAAACATCCATGGACAGAAACTTTTGGGCATTGAAAGACATATTACAGTTTCTTTTGGTAACATACATGTAAGGAAATTGCGTTGACATTACTATATCCATTTCAGCATGGTTTTTGCTCATTAAAAGTAACAATTAAAAGAAAAAACATGAGTCTGTTCATTCTTTATACTTACCTTTTCTCATCTGCAGCTCATATACCTTTATATCTGTATCCTTTCCTTAATACAACAAGTAAGTCAAGACCATTTGAGTATTTGAGGCTTACCAGTCTTGGAGTCATTGGTGCCTTGGTGAAGGTACTACCTCCTTACTGATTCTGTTGGATACACTTGACTATGGGAAGAATAAATTTTTATACAACATTTATGCTGAAACTGAGAATAATTTCAATTAGAAAATGTGTTTTATACACTTGACTACTGGTGTTGTTGTTGTTGTCGCCTGTCACATGTGTGCATCATTTGTACTTGTGTTTTGTCATGCGTTTAATTTCTCTTCTGCTGATATTTCACCAGGTTGATGATACAGAAGTTATAAGTTTCCTTCTTTCAACAGAGATTATTCCGTTGTGCCTTCGCAGTATGGAAATGGGCAGTGAATTGTCAAAAACTGTTAAGCTTACTCATCTTGTTATTAACCAATTTGGTTTGACAAAATATTTTCTTTGGATGAATTGAACTTGCTTTCTATTTCCTTCATTTTACCAAGCCACTTTTTTTGGGTATGTATGTTGAACATGTATGCATATGAAGCTTGTTCCAATGCAGTACTGCATGGGAAGTGTTGGGCAGTTAGCTTACTATTTATCTGATCAATGAGATTACCAAAGTGAATACTATCATACTATGTGAAATTGGGGAGGCTGTTCTTTTAAGAACCTTTCTTTTCAACTTTGGAACTGTTTGTCTTAATATAATTTTTTAGTGGTTGTTATGGGACTGTTGATCTCTTCTTGATACATTGGGTTGTATAAAAAAATGCAACTCAAGTCTAGTATTTGTAGTAAATTGGGTTTAAATACCGTCCTTCATATTTGAGAGCTAAATCTTTGATACAGATTCACAGCGGTAAATATGGAAAATATGTTATATTTTAATTCATGTTTCACTCTTGTACTTTGTAAATGCTAAGCTGCATGTTTGTTTTTGCCACTATGTTGTGATCCTGTTTTATGTAAATCAAATAATTGTAAAAGTGAACATTTGTGTGTAATGGAAGTTCCATCACTGCAGGTTGCAACCTTTATAGTTCAAAAAATCCTGTTGGACGAAATTGGTTTGAAATATATTTGTACTACAGCCGAGCGCTTTTATGCAGTGGGCCGAGTTTTGGGAAACATGGTGGCAACTCTTGTGGAGCAACCTTCATGTCGTCTTTTGAAGCATATCATTCGTTGTTATCTTCGTCTGTCAGATAATCAGAGGTTTGTTAACTAGATAGTACAACTCCAGTTTTGTAAGTGCTCCTGCCATGCCCTTTACGTTTTTCACAAATTTCTAATAATTTTTTGGTCATTTCAAAACAGTGCTTGCGAGGCATTAAGAACCTGTCTTCCAGACATGTTGAGAGATGCTACATTCAGTAGTTGCCTTCGTGTAAGTGACATTATTAGACAAATTTGATTTAATCAATATGATTGCAGTGACTTGATTAAGCAAATTTTAGATTAACTGTTGAGCATTAACTAATAAAGTTTACTCTCTTCTTCAAATATTCAATTTCTTAGCTAGAGGTTTTTCACTTGTCCTTATGAAGAGATGATTCATGCTTTTAGGTTGTTTACATTAAATGGTTTTGGTTTTATGTATTTCAGGAAGACCCAACAGCTAGGAGGTGGCTACAGCAGTTGCTTCATAATATCGGAGTCAGGGTACCAGCTCTACAAGGTGGAGGATTCGATCATATGATGGTGTCGTGAGAACAAAGATCTTGTCTCGTTACTGGGATTGCTACTGTCTTTGGAAAATTATCAACTTAGTTATATAAAATAGCATTTTCAGTTTGACATATATTGAGTAAGAAGAATTGATAGGGAAGGATCTATCTTTCTGTTTGATCTTGAAAGTGAAGTAAACTTTATCTGATGAGACAATTATAAAAGTTATATCGAGTTTGGATTCTCTGCAGCTCCTGCAGCAAAATAAAAAAAATATTTTTTTCTATTTCAATCTTTAATGCATCAGATGTAAATCTAATGGGTAACTGCAGCTGAGGCAGCAACAGCAGAGGACCCGAGTGCGAGTTTATATACATGAGAACAGTGATTTCTTAATTGAATATAAATAATAAAATCGTAATGAGCCATCTATTTTAAAGTTTAGTAAAATATTTGTAATTAAAATAATAATTTTACATTTGATATTTCTTAATAATTCAATAAATGATTTTAAATAATTAACATTAATTAATAATATATAACAACACTATGATCCAATTATCTGTATTTAATCAATTAATTGGATGGTTCTTACCCCTTAATGATTGTTGAAGCTCATGGTAAGTTTTTTACTCCTTAACACGGTTCTTTGTCTGTGGACTTTATCGTGTTAAACTTAATGAGATATTTAGGTGGTTAAATTATGTTAAAAAGATACTATGAGCATTATCAAATAAGATTGCAAATTACATGGTGGGTATTGATAATTTAAGTTTTTACAGTTTATGTAGACAAAACAATACTCCTAGCTAATTTGATTGTGATGAGGTTCCCTACCAGATGAATGAAGTGATAAATTTTTATGAACATGAAATTTGTAGAATTTAACATTGATAAAGAATATGATAATGAGTGGTTAATAATTATTAAGATAATCTGTAATATCATTTAGGAATCAAAGGAAGGGTAAAATGAATCTTGAGCAATGAGAGTAAAATTCAAATGAAATCATATTGAAATTGAAAGTGAATAAGCAACGATGATTCTCCATTTATGATTATATAGGGCTTATTAACAAAGTAGCTAACTTCTAAACTCACTAGCATCTTGTAACAACCCTTCGCAAGCTAGTAAAGGGCATTGCCATAACCAACTTGTAATGTGTGATCACAATAATGAATGCATTAGTAAGTTTTAGTAAATTTAAAATTTCAACCAGACATGATCTCTAATTCGAGAACATATACATTTCCCCAGCTCAAGGGATCCCTAAGGATTACATAGAAACAGTACTAGTCGATGTACTACGATTTGATTAGATGACAAGTTAGCCTCATATGTTTGTATGATCACAAATGAATGCAGTATAAACATTTATAGCATAAAAATAGATACATAATCTAATTAAAAATGACATGTTATATTTCATTAAACAAGCAATACATCGTTAATAAATATAAAAAAAAATTATATTTTATTTTTCATTCAATATACTTTCATATTATCATTTATTATAAAATATTATATAAATAATTTGAGGATTAATAGTGATTTATCCTCAAATTAGAAAGATTAAAATGAGACTAAATTATTGAAGGACTAAAATCAAACATGACAAATATATATTTTACTCTTTTATGAATATAATACATAATAAAAGTAATAGGAATTTATAATCATATAATAATTATATATATATATATATATAAATGATTTTATTTTTAAAAATAATATAAAAAATTTATCTCACAACTATATTTTTTATTAAAAAAATTTGTCATCGGTCCATGGTGATCATACCTCCAAATTACTCCCATATTTTTCTATGCACAAAATTTAAATATGATACATTACTTAAAGAAATTGGATTTAGTATCACTCGATCAACAACATGTTGACCCACAAAATTACGTTTCATGTTTATTTTAATATATTATTGATCTCAAATAAACTATTTTTTTAATAATATGATATTTCGATTTTATACTTATTATATTTTCATTTTTTCTATGCACAATTTGTAAATTAAAATTTTCAACCTTATCGTTTTCTTTATTTCAAATAATATATCTGATATATAAAACATCTTATAAATTTCATAACGTCTATGATTTTAATGGTTAATTTATTTTTGCAACAAATAAAATTCATCTTATAATTTATATACACAAAATAAAAATATATAATATGTAAAATTACCAGACAAAATTAAAGTTTTGAATTCATTAAAAATCAAAAAATATTAAAATTTTATTAATATGCATTTTAGTTAAATTACTTTTAAATGTGTTTAGAAAATAATAATCATAATAATAATAAATGATTATTTTTTTGAAAGGAAGAATGATTATTTTTAAATATATAAAAATTGAAAATAATTCAACATAATTTTTAAGATAATAATTTCAATTATATATATATATTAAAATAATATTTAATGATATATATTAAAATTATTATATATACCCATAGTAATTTCAATATATTATGTGCTAATAAATATTTGAAAATATAAATTAATTAAAAATTATATTACAGTATATAATAAAAAAATAATTTATATATTTGTATTAATAATAGTATACCCTATTTTAATATTTTCCCATAATTGATTTACCTATATACATATATATCTTTGAAAAATTACTTTAATATATATTTGATAAACCATTTTTTAAAGTCTTAATAGACTAACAAAATTGTGTCATATATATGGAAATTTTATATATTTATATATTAATATAAATATTACATTAATAACATTAAATTTTTTACTTGAGATCTAATTTATTAATATATAAGTATTCATCAAATTCAACATATTATATAAATACATATTAATTTTCCACTTTAAAAATATTTTATAAGAAAAATTTATATAAAAAAAGTCAAATAAATAATAAAAACGTTTCACACAATTATAGAAAGAGACTTATTATATATGCTAAAATATAATTTTTAGCCAGCAAAATGAAAAAATTTTGATTTTGATATTTATAAAAAAATTACTTTTTATCTTTATAAAATTTAGAACTATTATTTTTAGTCTTTATCGCTAATTATTTAAATTAATTATTTGTTTATTAAAAACTCTTCCTGATATATGATATCTTTAAATTTATTTTACAAATTCTTAAAATAAATATTAGAGACTTTGTCAAAAAAAAATTGTTAGAGATAAAAAATAATAATTTAAAATTTTAGAAGAATGAAAATCAAAATAAAAATATTTTACAGGAACAAAAGAATTACTTGTTTTACAAGAACTAAAAATACTTTACAAAAAAAAATGTTTAGCATTTTTAGAAAGATAAAAAAAAAAAAAAAAAAAGACTTTTTTTTACAAAAAAAAATCAAAATTATAAATTCCAAACCCTAACCCTAAACATGTACTAAAAACATATTTAAATCTTATATTTTTTAATATATATATATATATATATATATATATATATATGAGGAGGGAGCTGTTTACTCAAGTTAAAATTTGATGTTAAACATAAG